CCGAAAAACGCCCGTAATGTGTTCGATGAAATGCCCCAAGGAAAATCAGCTGCATTGGAGCCAACCGCTAAACACCAGACGGGGAACATGGAAAGAGGCAATGTAAATACGCGCAAACGACCATTCAATGAGCTATTCGCTAACAACCGGAAGCCTTCCAATGGCCTAAAGCTAAGTTACTTCAAACCAACGGAGGGCAAAGTTCGCTTGGAAAAAGAAGATATTGATGATGTGCAAATGACGTGGGGATATTGCCTTGTGGGATACTTCACTCATAGACACCCCGGAAAGGAGGCGTTATTGACAATATGCAACTCTTGAAAAGTGAAGTACGAATACATCCCCGACGTCAACGGTTGGATCATGTTCAAATTTCAAACGAAGGAGGATCGAGATAGCGTTCTTGAAGGGGGGCCTTACACCATTTATGGGAGAAGCCTAATGCTAAAGACCCTCCCCAAATGGTTCCGTTTCGGAGATGACGATACCAAAATTGTGCCCGTTTGGGTGAAATTCCCCTATCTTCCTCTTGAATGTTGGAATGCGAATGCCATAGGAAAAATTGCCTCGATCATCGGCAAGCCTATCTCAACGGACAAGCTAACCGAATCAAAAGGGAGATGTAACTTTGCCCGGGTCCTCGTTGAGCTAGATGTCTCCCAAGAGCTCCAACATGAGTTAGAAATTGAAACATATGATGGTGAAAGCCTTTTCCAAGAGGTAAACTATGAATACGTGCCCCCTTATTGTCATAGTTGCAAGCAAATCGGGCACTACTCGAAAAAATGCCATCTATACTCGGGAGAGGCCAAGGGGATCAAGTCTCAAGCATCCAAACCAAAGCCATCCAAAGGAAAAGAGACTATCACTACAAATTCCTCGCTAGCTTCGTTTATGGGCTTCATAGTCGGGGAGACCGCAAACAACTTTGGCGGGACCTTGATACCTCGAAGACGATTGTGAACCTACCTTGGCTACTCTTGGGCGACTTCAACACGATTCTCCGGGCGGAGGAAAGAATAAACGGAGAGCCCGTCACAAATCGGGACATCATGGATTTAGCCGAATTTTGTGATACTCATAACATCGTGGATGCCCCCTCTACAGGTTTCTTCCACACTTGGACAAACAACTCTATATGGTCCAAGCTCGATCGTGCCATGGTGGAAAATCAATGGCTCCAAGAGAATCTTTTTTGCCAAGCCACTTTCCTTGCCCCGGGCATTTCCGACCACTCCCCTTGTGTTGTCTCATTATTCGAGCACGTAAGGGGAAAAGGGTCACCTTGGCGGTTCTTCAATATGTGGGCCGAGCACAATGATTTCAAGCCGAGAGTCCGACAAGCTTGGGCTCAACGAATACGGGGAACGGAGCAATTCAAACTCTCCGGGCGACTTAAGGCCTTGAAAATCGAGCTCTCCAACCTCAACGCCGAGCACTACTCTCACATATCTACCCGTGCAAACAATGCAAAGCTAGCTCTCAAGCTAGCTCAAGAAAAACTCCACGACAATCCAAATGATTTGGAGGTAAAGGTTTCACGTCCCGGACTCCGTCTCAACTCCATCAATCTAGCCAACGCGGAGAAGCACTTCTTTCAACAAAAAGCGAAATGCCAATTCCAAATTAAGGGAGACAAATGCACCGGATTCTATCACGCCATCGTTAAACGGAAGACCAAGAAAAACTTCATTGCCTCCATCGAGAAAGAAGACGGGAATATGACTACAACTCTAGAAGATGTTTCCAAGGAGTTTGTTAGTCATTTTAAAAGGCTCCTTGGCTCTATGAACCCAACGGAGGACATTGACCCCGACATCATCCGACATGGCCCGCTTATCTCCCAAGATCAACAACTAGCCCTTCTAGCCCCGGTTACCGAAAAAGAAATCAAAGACGCCCTCAATGACATTGAAATCGATAAGGATCCTGGCCCGGATGGGTATACTTCCTTGTTTTTTCGTAAAAGTTGGGACATCGTTGGGGAAGACCTCACTTTGGCCGTGCAAGAATTCTTTGCAAATGGGCAACTCCTCAAGCAATGGAATCACACCACTCTAGTAATGGTCCGCAAAGGCCCCCGTTTGACCCAAGTCTCGGACTTCCGACCGATAGCATGTTGTAATACCACTTACAAAGTAATTTCGAAAATCATATCCCAAAGAGTTAGTTCCGTTCTAGGCTCAATCATTGACGGAGCTCAAGCCGCCTTTGTGAGTGGAAGGAACATGTCCGACTACATACATCTTATGCAAGAACTTCTTCGAAAATACATGAGAAAGAGGATCTCCCCGAGGTGCACGATCAAGATTGACCTCCGTAAGGCCTTTGACTCCATTTCTTGGGCTT